CGACAACAGACGACTGACGCCAATTGATTGGAAAAGCTCAAACTAGCAAAACTTTGTTCCTTCCGTGTATTTTGCAAATGATTTCAAAGACTGCATTTTTATAGTTGGTCCATTCCATTGGATACAAAGCTGGTGTTTACAAAAAAAATATATAAATGATTCTTAGAGCTGTCAAAATGTAGTCAAACTTAGAATTCAAATGTCAGACTTGCATGTACAGTTGAATGCTGGATCCAAGGATCAAACACCGAAGAAAATCATTTTACTACTTAATTGTGATGCAACAGATACATGTCATAATACATTCACAAATATTTTTGAACAGGGCTCAATTTCAACCTTGATCGGTTGTCTGTAGAAAGCTACTGCATAAATTCGATCCAAATAGGATAACGATTAAGTATGTTAGAGCGTTTACAATCCGAAGCGATGCTCTGACGGACAGACAGACGAACAGAATTTATATATTCCCGGCCGCAATGTGGTGCTGAGGGGAACAAAAATAACATATATGGAGTAAATGTCAAGGAGACAACATTTCATCTCAGAACTTAATTAACCAAAATATACACCTAGAGGTCGCCACATGGTCTGCAACAAACTGGGAAACCCCTCACCAAGTAGTTGGCCCTATATGGCCCAGACTGTGACATGACCTTAGCTGCATTTTCATTTTTTGTACAATATTCTATTACAGTATAATTTAAATTTGCTTTAGTTAATCTCACATTTTAGACGATCACCATCAATATCAATTTGTTTTTCAATTTTATTATTGTCATTAAACATTTACAGTATGTTTGTGGAAATACACATTTAAACAAACTATAACAACAAAATAAAAACAAAACAGTATACAATAAAACCATAAGTGATTAATTTACAATATTAAAATATTCAATAGCCATGTTACAATGAGACCTCTGCCCTCAGTGTTAATGACCTTTTAAAAAAGAAGCCAATAATTCTAACTTTTCTAAAGGAAGCGGGGTTTAATATATAAAATATTTTTATGTTCATCAGGGAAATGAATGAAATGTTCATCATCTAATTGTATACCATTAAATATATTTTGTCGGATATAATAATTCTGGTTTGCCTTGCAATTCAGAATAAAATGAAACTGATCTACGATGACTTTGCAGGTTTTGCACAGTCTTTGTTCTCGAGGAATTTTAGTTTAACCACCATTTTCTATTTCAAGACTATGGTAACTTATACGAAGTTTAGTAAAAATGTTCCTGATAGAAAAATTATTAAACAATAAGTAAAAATTTGCTTCAAGTGAAGGTTTTAGTTATTTATACATGCAGAAACAGTTTGCTACTTTCGTCGATTTGTTCTATTTTACTTTTATATAAATCTTTATTATAGTCATTTATTTCATTTTTAATTTCTGGTTTTAAATGTTTTACATCTGTAATATTCTTACAGTTGGCCACTTTGTCTTTAAGGTTATGGTATGGAATATGTATACCAAGAATATACACCTTGTAAATCAAGGCGTTTTGAAAGTTCGAAGGCCTCTTTCAATAATGGGTTTAAAGGATCAATGTTTAGTCTACTAAGATATAAAATAGATTGGGTTGTAATAATATTTTCAACTGGAAGTCTACCTAGTTCTAATCTCACACCTATATTTGATGAGGTCGTCTTGGTTCCAAGAAGGCATTTACAAAATGTGAGATGGATTTTTTCAAAAGGTGTTTTATCAATAAAGTTGAGATGGTCAATGTCACAATTTCTTTGGGCAGCTCTATGCTTTGTCCTATGGTACAAAAGAAAATAATCCATAAAGGAAATTTCAAAGTTGTACGTCAAAATGGGTTTGACCAATTTATCAAAGAGATTTTTTGAAATCGAAATAGGTCAAATGCCCATAGAGGCTGTTTTTTGCTCTAAAGGAAATAATACTTTCCTGGCCTTTTAGCCAGATCTTCGAGACTATGTTTGAGGTTACCGCCACACTTTAATAGGCATCCTAAAAATTTATATTCGTTACATTCTGTATCATGTTACCTTTAAAATCTATAAAAGGGAGCTATACTTTTGAGTTGCTGGATAACCTTAGTTTTTGTCTTTTTAATATTTAAGGTGAGTTGCCAATCATCACAAAAATTGTTAAGTTTATCAAGACTATTTTGTAAGCCTTCCTTACTTTCAGACATAATTAGAAGGTCATCTGCAGTTTAATAATTTTGCGGGTCTGCACTCCTCGTTGTTAAAGCTTGAACTTAGGTCATTAATAAAGATATTAAATAGGGTTGGGCTTATGGAAACCCCTTGTTTTACCACTCTTAGTATTTAATAATATTCTGAGTGTTTATGGTCAATCTTTAGAGCTATTTCTGTTTTAGAAAGCATATTTTTAATAGCATTATATAAATATTTCCCTATACCGGTATGAGTTAACTTGTAAAGCAAACCATCTCTCCACACTGAGTCGGAAGCTTTTTGGAAATCAACAAAGCCTCCATATAAATTCCTTGTATTTTTATGAAGATATTTATTTATGAATGTTTTTGATATAAATAAACTATCAGATGTTCTGTGGTTTTCACGGAATCCAAATTATGAATTAGAGAACTTATCTCTCATCAACAAGTTCAACCTGTTGTTTAAGATGGCCCTGACAATCTTCGCCGTACAATTTATTAATGAATACCTCTGTAATTTGACGGGTCAAGTTTGTTACCAGACTTATGTAATAAGATTAAATATGATTTGTTCCACTGCTCTGGATAGTAGCCATTTTTTTTTTAATTGGTTTAATCAGTTTACTTAATGCAGTTATTGTAAATACGCAATAATATTATTACACACATTAAGTTCTGAATTCACAGCATTTTTATATTTTTCAGCATAAAGTCAGAATTCGACCTAATTTTCTATGAATTTAGTTACAACTAGGTAGAACCTGTTTAGTGGATTAAAACTATTGTTTTCCATCATCTGTAGAAGTCATAAGTAAAAAGGAGATAAAACAAAAGCATTCTAGTACTGAAAAGGTATTGCATTGTAAGTAAGAATATGTCGTTATATGGTTAGTGCTTGGTAATATGCACTGTTTTTCAGGAAATTTAACAATTCATGAATGTGGGGATATGAACAGATTTGAAGCTACTTTACCATTACCATTACCTAGGGAGCGTGGCATGTCCCCGTGATGAACTAGAAAGGTTTTAGAAAGGCAATTGAGATTAGATAAGCGTTAGGGACGGGGTTTTGAACTATATTTTAGATAAATAACAACATTATTATATGAAGGGCGAGGCATGACCCCCAAGGCCAAACCCTTTGCACTAAGAAGGTCTTGCCTGTTCTGTGGCCTTTAATTGCTTACTTTCACTTCATTTTAACTCTGGTGGATAGTTGTCTCATAGGCAATCATTCCACATCTCCTCATTTTTATATTGACATGGAAAGGAAGAATATATGTGTTTTAAGGGTGACATATGAAAATTAAATATTTGACCATGACTTTTTATTTGATCTTGAAGGTCAAATGTCAAAGTTGTCTATGGTATGTGACACATCATATGTAAGCGCTACACATCTAGTGTTTCAAATATTAAAAGCATATGTCAAAGGAGAAAAACATGTATTCCGGACATGAAAATGTAAAAAAATCAAGTAGTATGACCGTGAAGTCAAAGTTCAAGGTCATTTGACAGTCAAAGTGGTACACTTCATACCAAGTATCATGAGTCAGTGTCAAATGATAAAAAAAAGTGTATATGTTTAAATACACAGATTATTGAGAAAAAATATGTGAAAATTACATATTTTATTATGATTATGATGCCATGGGAACGGTGTTAGAGACCCCAGCAAAAATCATAAAACTTGTAGCATATATGTAAATCTTTATAGAAATAATTAACACATTAAGATAATCAAAGTATTTCAAAAGATTTCATGTCTTTTTGTTGATCTTTCTTGCAAGTATCAAAAAATTGCGCAAAATGCTCTTTTAGACCTGTAAGTCCCATAATATAGCGATACTCAAACTATAACATTTTGTCAAGTTTCAACGGACGAATGATGCTTGTTAGAAAAAACAATTCAAATACCAGCTGAACATAACCATATCTAGCATATTCAGAGCAACAAAAATGTGACATTTTTGTGGATTTTTTTTTTTGGGAGGGGGGGGGGGGGGAAATAAGCCTTTACCAGTAGATGGCGCTGCAAAGTCTAAAAATAGCGTCAGATCTATTTTTTTTCCTTTGACTAACATAACATATATACTAGTCAACAAAAGTAACGATACACAAGTTTGAAGTCCAATTTATCATAAAATATAATAAATAGGAGAAACTGTTAAATTATCCAACGAAAAACATTCATTTGCAAAGCAAATGCATATGATTAAAAGAATCTGACCAAATTGGAAAGTGAGAAAATACCGTGTTATTGCACATATATAGGGGTCAAATTTATGTTGCGGAAATTGATGACAAAAGTCGGCACTTAATTTCGAAGATGAGAATTAAGTATTCAAATATCTGCAAAGGCATTCAAAATTTTAAGCAGACCATGTTTAAGTTTGAAGTTTTAAGTTCTAATAATGATTTTTGAATTTTTTGGTGAAAAAACGATTTTTGAAATAACAAAAACTGCAAAAAAAAAATTCACATATTTGCCTTTAAAAATCAATGGTTTTGATAAGAAAATAACACTCTGTAAATATAAGACCAATTGGACAATTATTTACCTTGGTACAGTGTATCCAATTTCATTATTTAAGGAAAATACATTGCCATGTATCGTTTCTTTTGTTGACTAGTATATGTGCAAAAATTCATTACATACCATACTGAAATAAGATGTTCTAATTTGGATATAAATACGTTTCTTCATCAAATGAAAATAATTAGTATGCTAACATGAACAATTAAAAAAACCATGATAAAATAAATGTATGAAAATATCCTTAACAGCACTCTTACGCCATTAATAAAATCAATCGCAGTTATTTATAGAAGTTTGTTTTTAATGTTAAGTGTCACATACACAGTTGGCCTAGATATAAAGTAAGCATCCATTCAGAAAGGTTAAGGTAAGTTAACATCAAAACAAGAATGAATCCTTTGTTTAAAATACAGCGTAACATAGATTACTGTCGAAAATATCGCCTTTTGTAGACAATAGCTCAGCATTATTCCTCTTTTATACCCGCAGAAGTTTCAATATCGGGAATGGTTTTACATATATACGTGTGCAACTTTTCATTCTATTATTTCTGTTAATATTAAATATATTATATATATATATATATGTGTGTGTGTGTGTGTGTGTGTGTATAGTTCTAAAACATTAACGACTTTGTGCCAATAAACAATTTTAAATTTTTGATTTGTTTTTATAATTGTTATTATTAGAAACGAAACCAAAAGTGGAACCTGCAACATTTAGAGCTTCAAACTTCTTTACTTTATTTCTTGCAACACTTCAACTTCAGGTAATACTTGTGTTTTATATGCCCTATAGACAGATTGAATATGATATTAATGCAGTTATTTAAGCGGATAGAAATAAGCAAAAATTTACAAGTATTTCAGGTATGTTAAGAAAATAACATCAATTTATTTATTAAAAGATTCATCTCCATTTTATTGCTATATCACATCGTTCCGACTTACACGTTTTGCCAATTGTATTTGATTTTAATTATCCTTTTTTTCTTTAAATTATAAATATTATAACGTTATTAAGTACTTCTTTTCATGTACGTAACGTGTGTAATTAGCTCTTCTATACAATCCTAAGACTAGGGTACATTTTCCCTCTAAATTCTCTCCAGTTTGTTTTGAAGGTGAAGTGTGAAGATAAGAAATTCTATATTTCTATCTTCAACTTCATCGTAAAAATGATGCAACATAAGAAAATTCGCCGCGTTTTTTAACGTTTTATTTGTTTGATTTTCTTCCCTTGGTTTATCTCCCTTTTACCAAACATAACAAATGAATTATATATTATATGTGCGCGGGAGAGGTCAGATACTTAAGTAAAGTAAAAGTGATCTTGGATTTCCGAACGTCATTCAAGCAGTGTTTCTACATTTCATTTCGAAACATGCATGTCGTCTTTCTTCAATGTCTTTTTCCTTATTTATAGGTCAAGATTGTCAATCAATTTGAAACTGTAATGCCCGCGGGTTATGCAATTGAAAAGATGGAATTGTGTTGAAATAGAAAATTATTAATAATATCAATGAATTTCAAAGATGCAGAAAAATATAGAAATTGGCTAAGTAATATATCATCTACCTTGTTAAAGCTATACCATGGTTATCCCACAAACACTAAAGTCAAAGACATTTGGAAGCAGAAACCTGAGCACTGGCCAGAGGATGTCTCGTTTTTCGACCCGCACAATACAAAAAATAGAGGGAAAAAAGATATACAAAGATTACTGACAAGTATGCTTGCATGCGTTGAGATTAAAGGGATACAAATTGATTTCAACATTAATGAAGAAATCGAAGCATGGAAAAGTCACGACAAGAAAAGCCTCATAAATCTGTTTACGATTAGGCAATATGTAAAACAAGTAGGATCAGAATTGAACATGTTAGGTAATTATTCCACAGAAAAAGCCATAACAGTTTGCACCAAAAGGTTTCAACTTGTATTTACCCTACAAAATCTAAAGGACGTAAATACTACAAAAATAATCCATCGATCAGAAGCTATGCGTAAAGTCGCCTGTCTGTTATGCAAACTTTATCATGGAAAACGTCCTCAGGAGAAAGCTGATTCCATCTGGAAAACTCCACCAACTGACTGGCCGGATGAACTATTATATGTAAATCCTTACAATAGGCATTATAAATGTGATAAATGGGACAATGAAAGGCTTGCAAAAACTCTACTACATTGCTGTGTAAGTAAAGCTATAAATATACCAACACCATACGAGAAAATAACGAATGCTTTATGTCAAAATGACGACGAAAGACTTATTGCAAATGTTGTTTTGTGTACCTCTGAAGAAAAACTTAAAAAAATATTTGAACAATTAGATAATGACAACTTGATGGAAGAAACATGTAAAATTGTTCAACTGCAGTGTTCTGATATTATAGTGTCTTTGAAGATTGAACCTAATTACTTCTCGTCATGTGAATCATTAATGAATGAAATAGAGGTAAGTAGCATTTCTTCGAAATATGATAAATGTTATGCTAAATTGAGGGGAGGCATGTTGTTTAGCATAAATTTAAGAAAAGAACTATTCAGAATATATTCATTTTTAAACATTTTTTTGTAAATGCTACATATTTATATTTATTTCATTTATTACTATCTGCAGCAGTTCTGTGAGACAGATAAGATAATTTTATTAACCAATCATGGTGCCCAAAATTTGAGCTATACAATCAAATGAATTACAAAATAAACTACACTAAATGATTAGAATGTTTTAAGAACATGAATACACATTTAAACAAAGTAACATAATTATAAACCATGTTATTGACAAAACATTAAGTTATTTTGGAAGCCACTGTGACGTGGAGAAATTACATTTCTCAATCAGTTTATTGTCCTAGGCCTATGGGAGACAACTCCTATTCGGTTTTATTGTATTTTTTTTTCTTCTATTTTTCCAAACTGCATTTATATTTTCTAAGAGTTTCTTTTTTTCTTCAAACAGGGAGTGCAATAAATTAGATAAGTTTGAAGTAACAAACAAATCTTCAGATAAAGAGTCCAAACAAATTTCATTTCATCAGATAAATTTGAAAAATTTTTGAATTAAGAATTTAAATTAGATAGATGTTGAGATCTTGTATCTTTTAGAACAGGACATTTTAGAAGAAAATGTACTGTAGTTCATCTTCAACTGCGTTCTTACATAGCTTACACTTTCTGTCTTCAGCTTTTATACCAATATACCTCCCTCTTTCAATTTCAAGGTCATGACAGCTAGTTCTAAATCCTGTAATTATTTTCATGTCTTTTTTTGAATTTATTGTTAAATATGGTTCAAACATAAAAATATTTTTAAATTTTTTGTAAGTTCTTAATTTATTGCCAGACTGTAAATCGGTACACTTCCCAGAATTGCTTTCTAAACTAGCTACCCAAATGTATTTACATTTTATTGTTGGAGAACTTTTAACTTTTTTAAGTCTCCCAAACCAACGAAGTTTGAAGTTTGAAGACTTATTGTTTTTGCTCAGTTCTTATTATTATTATTATTCTTGCTCTTCCGCCACTTTTTTTAATAAATTTGTCCGCACCATTTCTCAAAAACCGCTAGTCAGCATGGTCAGATTTACTTAAGGTTTCACAATATGTTTGTGCACTTGGGTCTAAAAAGGGGTTCTTTGAGGGACCAATAGAAGGGAGGGGTTTACTATAGAACCCTATGGGATTTTATTAATTTTTTTTTCTTCAAATGATTATAACTTGAAAACCGTTAGTGATAGACACAATCTTTATAATTGAAAATGTTCTACATGATAAAGCACATCAAATGAAATAAAGGGTTCGTCCCCAGTGGTCACCCCACCCCCTGCCATTTGACAAAGTTCTAATATCTTGTAAACGGTCAAGATCCCCATCCCTAAACCATATATATTTTGGTTTGTCATGATAAAGCACATCAACTGAAATAATGGGTAAGTCCCTAGGGGTCATCCCCACCCCCTGCCATTTGATAAAGTTCTAATATCTTGTAAGTTGTCGAGATCCCCACCCCTAAACCATATATATTCTGGTTTGTCATGATAAAGCACATCAAATGAAACAAAGGGTAAGTCCCCAGGGGTCACCCCAACCCCCTGCCATTTGAGAAAGTTCGAACATCTTGTAAATGGTCGAGATCCCCACCCCTAAACCATATATATTCCGGTTAGTCATGATACTGCACAATAAATCAAGTAAAGTATTAGTCCCCAGGGGTCACCCCCAACCCCTGCCATTTGAGAAAGTTCTAATATCTTGTAAATGGTTGAGATCCCCTCCCTAAACCATATATATTCCTGTTCGTCATGTCACAAAGATTTGAATGATATATAGGGTCAGTCCCCAGGGGTCCTCCAACCCCCTATGATCTAATATCTTGTAAATGGTCGAAATCCCCACCCCTACACCAAATATATTCCTATTCGTCATGTCAAGAAGATTTGAATGATATATAGGGTCGGTCCCTAGGGATCACCCCCACCCCCTGCCATTTGATAAAGTTATAATATCTTGCAAATGGTTGAGATCCCCACCCCTAAACCATATATATTCTGGTTAGTCATGATACAGCACATGAAATGAAGTAAAGTATTTATCCCGAGGGGTCACCCCCACCCCCTGTCATTTGAGAAAGTTCTAATATCTCGTAAATGGTCAAGATCCCCACCCCTAAACCATATTATATATTCTGGTCAGTCATGATACAGCACATTAAATGAAGTAAAGTATTAGTCCCCAGGGGTCAACCCTACTCCCTGCCATTTGACAAAGTTCTAATATCTTGTGAGTGATCAAGATCCCCACCCCTAAACCATATATATTCTGGTTTGTCATGATAAAGCACATCAAATGAAATAAGGGGTAAGTCCCTAGGGGTCACCCCCACCCCATGCCATTTGAGAAAGTTCTAATATCTTGTAAGTTGTCGAGATCCCCACCCCTAAACCATATTTATTCTTTTTTGTCATGATACAATCAATCAAATGAAATAAAAGGGTTCGTCCCCAGGGGTCACCCCCACCCCCTGCCATGTGACAAAGTTCTAATATCTTGTAAGTGGTCAAGATCCCCACCCCTAAACCATATATATTCTGGTTTGTCATGATAAAGCACATCAAATGAAATAAAGGGTAAGTCCCCAGGGGTCACCCCAACCCCCTGCCATTTGAGAAAGTTCTAATATCTTGTAAATGGTCGAGATCCCCATCCATTAACAAAATTTATTCCGGTTAGTCATGATACTGCACAATAAATGAAGTAAAGTATTAGTCCCCAGGGGTCACCCCCAACCCCTGCCATTTGAGAAAGTTCTAATATCATGTAAATGGTTGAGATCCCCTCCCCTAAACCATATATATTCTTGTTCGTCATGTCACAAAGTTTCGAATGATATATAGGGTCAGTCCCCAGGGGTCCCCCACCCCTATGATCTAATATCTTGTAAATGGTCGAAATCCCCACCCCTAAACCATATATATTCCTATTCGTCATGTCAAGAAGATTTGAATGATATATAGGGTCAATCCCCGGGGATCACTCCCGCCCCTGCCATTTGAGAAAGTTAAGGGTCAAATTTCAATTTTAACTTATGAGCTTTTATTTTGAACACTATTATTTAAATGAAGCAAAAACCAACATGATATGGAAAATTTTATGAAATAAAAGAGGAGTCATCATGGGTCATCCCCGATTCCGGTCTCTTCTTAAAAGTATAAATAACTTGAAATCAGTTTAGATCCCAACCCTTAAACGACATACATTCGGAATTTCTATGTTGACTATGGTCCACAACTTTTGATTTCCAATATTGAAGATTCAACTTTTTAAATGCGTTTATTATTCCTTATGAAAGTGTTTTTATATTTCTCTTTCGACATCTTGTTTTATTTATGTTTATTAATTTTATATCACCAGCTTCATATTTTTTCCAGAAACAAAAACATACAGTCAAGAAATTTACCAAACGAAAACCCTACAAGGTATATATATTAATTACTTAATCTTCCTCTCTGGACTAAGTACACCAAAAATTCAATTGAAATTTCGATGTTTAAAAAAAAAACTCCTTACGATTATTTTAAATGTGGAAGTTTAAATTTTACACTGAAAGAAGAATATTCACATTACAGAAATTAATTCATACATAAAAATTACTCTCTGAACTCTTCTGACATTTTCCGTCAACTCATGATATACCAAAATTTCATTCATTTTTAATATTGCATATTTTTTTACCTAAATAAACAAAATGTTAACTTCATAAATGTAGTAGAAAACATCCGTAAAATACAAACCATAAAACATACCACCAATTTACATATCACCAAGTTGACTTTCATGTTTTCGTTTGCAGCATTTAAATAAAGAAAGAAAAAGGTTGAAATCAGAAAACAGTACAGATAAATGTAATGAAGAGAGTGACATTGATGCACAAGTAAATCAGAATGACATTTTAGCATCATCCTATCTTATTTCGACATCTGCGGAAAACTGTTTTCCCTATTGTACAGAAAATGCTTCATCTATAAACTGTGTTTCGGATCCAGAAACAGAAACTGCTATGTTAATGATGAATCTTTTAGATTCAGTTGATTTGTCAAAACAATTTGGACTCGATGAACACTTTCCCCGATCATTAGATAATCATTTATCTAGTTGATTGAAACAACATTCATCTGCAAAAATGTCTTTCTAGTACATCAATAGTTTCCTAGTCATAACCGTTTGTTGTTTTGGATATTGTTTTATTATTTTTTGAGCTTTATTTCACACTGTATAATTAACCGCAAATAAGATGTGTGTAATACCATTGTTCTTCCAATTGTATATAAACGACTTTTAGCAAATAGATATATGTTTTTTATGACCAAACGAAACTATGGCGCCATTTAAATACCAACTTATTATAAACACATTATAGGATCTTTTTATGAATATTTCGGCTAAATGAATAAGGCAACTTTCTTAATAAAAATAAGGAGATGTGGTATGGTTGCTAATGAGAAAATTTATCCACCAAAATTCAAATGAAGTGGATGTAAGCAATTATAGACCACTGTACGGCCTTCAACAATTAATGAGAAAAACCAATACCGTATAATTGGCTATAAAAGGGCCCGATATGAAACATTTGAAACAATTCAATTGAGAAAACTAAAGGCCTAATTCATAACAAAACAATTTGCAAAAAACAAGTATGACAGACATGAACCTTCTACAACAACTGAACTACAGGCCCCTGACTTGGGACAGGCACATACAGAATGTAGCGGGGTTAAACTAGTTTGCTGGCACCAAACCCTCCCCCTAACCTGGTTTGTTCGTTCATATATTTGTAATCAAGGATTATGCTATCATATATGAGTCCACCGGTCGGAATTTAACGCGACAATTTTACAAGTTATCGAAATGGAAAAAGAGGCAGAATGTACTCATAACTTGATAGAAACTGAAAACGCCATGGCAAATTAAACGAAAGACGACGAAAAAACAAAGAAATTCACAAACAAATACATAAAAAAACTTAAAATTGAGTTGAATGAAACCAACTTAAAACTGGGAGTGATCCAAGGTGCTCCGGAATCGTAAGCAGATCCTGCTCCCGACACCCGTCGTCGTAATCATGGTAGGTAGATTTTCGTCGGTTAGTCTCATAGACCTTGAAAATGAATGTGTCTCACGGAAGATATTTCATTTTTCCAGAATTAATTTATACTTTACAAACAAATAAGTGTTGACAAATACCTAATACGAATCTCTATTATAGTGATCATACTATTTCTATGGTGAGGCATAGGGAAAAAAGGGATATCCGGTATACAGGTATATCACAAAATATCTGCGCGCACTTGAGATTGATTGAGAGGAACGCTTTTTGATGTTGATTTTCTTTCATATTAAATTCACAGAAAATTCTTTACTAGATGGCAATACTGTACATGTGGAAATTCCCTAGTTAATTTTTTTTGATATATGTGTCGTACTCATTATAATTATGGGGCTTTGAAAATAGAAATAGTACCGAAAAATAATATTTTCAGTTCTGTAAACATATATTGAGGTTTTTATCGTTCACATCAAACTTTATGATATACTATGAGGAATTTGGAAGATTTCCATTTTAAGAACAAATTACAATTCGTATTTACATATTTTTGGCATAAGTAAGACATATATGATATTAAGTGGTCACGTAAATGTACATGTTATTACGTCGTATGATTGAGCGTGAAGGTTACAATGAATGGGCTTTACTTACATGGTTTAGGTGAAATATATGAAATATGTGATATTGCTGAACACGCGAAATTTACTTTTATGAAAAGCAATGCCTCCAAGACCAGATTACCCGTATATCGTATCATAAAACAGACTTCCTTTACGGTAAGACTTTCAATATAGTTTAAATAGTTATATCTTGCATTTTAACTTTTATAAGCGCCTATATATAATTCCGGTTTCGTCCCCCCTCATGCAAATATATTATTCTTTCATATATAGGAGTGGGACGAAACCGGGATTATATATAAGACGTTTATCTATATATAATCCCGGTTTTGTTCCACCTCTATGTTAATCAGTATGGATTTCCGTAGGAATGGAACAAAACCGGGCTATTACATTATATATGAGACACTTATCTATGTAATCCAGGTTTTGTTCCACCTCTATGTTAATCAGTATGGTTCTCCGTAGGGATGGGACAAAACAGGGCTTATACATTGTTTATAAGACACTTATCTATGTAATCCCGGTTTCGTCCCACCTCTATGTTAAATGTTAAATCGGTAAGGTTTTTCGTAGGGGTCAGGGACGAAACCGTGATTACACGTATATATATAGATAAGTGTCTTATATATAATTCTAGTTTAGTCCCACCTCTATGTCAAATGTGATAAATTTCCATGGAGGTGGGACGAAACCGGGCTTATATACATAAGACACTTATATATATATATATATATATAAATTGCCTAACAATGTAATTTTAACACACTATTTAGTATGTAAATATAAGAATGTTTAAAATATTTACAAAATGATGAAAATAAACGCAATATTTCGCTAGACTAACTAGCTTTATCAAGCGTGCATCTATCCAGGTGAAATCGGATGTAGATGATAAGAAACTTTTGCAGCTCAATGTATATGTTGCACTTGAATTTAGCTGCCTTGAAAATAATAAATAATTTGAATGAAGTTCAAGATTTTTACAAAATTGGTAGTTGAAGTTAGCAACGTCCATTGGCCAATATTACAGGATAAAAAGGACGATGCTGTGTACTAAATTATTCTTTATCTTTCCTGTATCTTTTCTCATCTTTTTCGTTAAGACCATCAGGTTCTAAAGTGTGGAGTTGGTGGATCCAAAAATTTTCTCTTCTCCTTCTCGCCGTGGTGTCCCACTCGGTGTTGACTTCTATGATTTGGAAGGTAACATTATCAAAAGAATGTTTCGTTGAACGAAGATGTCTTGTGAGAGGACAGTTCTTGTTGGTTTTGTACCATGAACGATGGTTATTGAGCCGAATATTAAATTTGTCCATTGTTTCTCCCACATACTGAATGCCACATGTGTCACATGTTAATATATAAATTGAGTTCTCCGTTTTACAGTTGGAATTTGAGTAGATGGTATAATTTTGTTTAGTAACGGAGCTGATGACAGAACTGCTTGAATTGGCAGCTTTACAACACAAGCAGTTCCTTCGACCACATTGTTTGTAGCAACCGGGAGATGGAGTAGGCTGCTTTGCTAATACAGATGTCACTAATTTGTCACGGATGTTTTTAGGTCTTCTGAAGGCCATGACTGGTGGTGAGGAAAATAATTTTTTAAGATTTGAATCATTTTCTATAATTTTCCAATGCTTCTGAACAATGGAAGACACATTTTTAAAATCAGGATGGTAAGTGAGTACAAGGGGTGTTCTGTTAGCTGCTTTATTCTTATCTTTGTACTCTAGAAGTTCTTGGCGACTAGTTTTGTTTGCTCTTTCGAAAGCGCTATCAATGATGTTGTTATTGTATACTCGAACAACTAGATGTTTACGTAGTTGTCCAAGTCTAGCATTTTGCGTATTTTCAGTAGAGCATATTCTCTTGATTCGCAATGCCTGGCTGAATGGGATGCCACGGAAGCAGTGTTTAGGATGGCAACTTTTAGGAGAAAGGAATTGATGTTTGTCCGTTTGTTTGGTGTGAAGGTCCGTTATAATGGTTCCGTTCTTGATGTAACTCGTAGTGTCGAGGAAGTTTATTTTCTCCATAGATGATTCATATGTAAATTTTATTGAATGGTGGAAAGAGTTACAGTGTCCTAGAAATTCATTAAGATGTTCTTGTGAATCTGTCCATTTGAAATCAATATCGTCAATGAATCGGAACCATGATAAGGGCTGGTATGGAGCACTAGCCAAGAGGCGTTTTTCAAGTTGGCCCATAAATATGTTGGCATATGACGGGGCCATTTTTGTGCCCATACTAGTACCGTCTATCTGGAGATAATGTTTTTCATTGAAAGAGAAGTTGTTGTTCTCTAGCACTAGTTTCAGAAGTGTAACAAGGCACTCAGTTGGAGGATTTTTTTCACTACGAGTGTTCCATACCTCTTCACACGCTGCTATTCCTTCGTCTTGTGGAATGTTGGTATATAAAGAAGACACGTCCATGGATGCAAGAATAGTATTGCTTGGTAGAGGATTGAGGCTTTCCATTTTCTTCAGATAATCAGTTGTATCTTGGATGTAAGAGGGTAGTTCTTTCACATGAGGTCTTAGATGATGGTCTAAAAATTCTGATATCTTTTCAGTTGGATGACTATTTGCTGAAACAATTGGTCGACCTGGATTGCCCGTTTTATGTATTTTAGGCAACATATAGAATCTTCCGGCCTTTGCTTCGTTCTCAAGAGATCGGAGATAATCAAAGGTGTCATTGTCTATATGCTTTTTGTCGAACATCTCTTTAAGGATGGTGTTGATCCTTCGAATATTATTTAGTGTTGGATCTGTGGTTAATTGTTTATAAAAAATGGAGTTTGAAAGTTGGCGATTTCCCTCTGCTATGTAATCTGTTTTATTCATGACAACCACAGCGCCCCCTTTGTCGGCAGGTTTAATTACGATATCCTCTTGATCTTTTAACGCTTTCAAAGCAATGCTTTCTGACTTGGATAAATTATAATTTCTTGTATTTGTTATACAGGACTTTATATCAGACCTCACGTAGTTAATGAATGACTCCAAGTTATTATTTTTACTCTTAGGTGGTTTCCATGAACTTTTTTTCTTAAATTTTGGGATGGGCGTGACTTCTTCATTGGTGTCAGTATCTGAATCTGTTAATCCAGCTTCTTCAAGGTTTTTCTTGCCCCTATTGTAGAAAAAATCTTTCAAGCGTAAACGTCTAGCGAATTGGTCTAAGTCCTCGTCTAGCTGAAAGTTATTTACATTTGATGGGATAGGACAGAAGTTTAAACCTTTACTTAAAAGAGATTCTTCAGCACTTGTAAGTTCTTTAGATGACAAATTTACAACAATGCTTTCAGTTTTTTGTTTCCGTCTTTTGAATTTTCTTTTTCTAGGGACCTTATGGTTTGTTGTATTGATATCATTCATATCCTGATTTAAATAGACAGTGTGAATTTTATCTCTTTGAAATTTATTCCTTTGTTTTTCTTTAGGTTTGGATAGTTCAATTTTTTCAATATCTGCGAGGCGACGTTTAATTATTGGTAAATCGTCACGTGAAATGTTACTATTGTTGATGATATCTGATATTTCATTTACAATTTGTTTGTAATTTGTGGTTGTAAAAGAAAGTAACAGTGGAAGTAGCTGGATTGAACAGTTTAACAGAATTTCATTCCAACGGCTCATGAATCTTTTGGATTTATGTCCCGGTGCCTGGGGACTCACTTTGATGTTTAAACCTTTTGGTACAGTTTTACTTTGAATATATTTTTTTACGTTTGATAAATGATGTTCAGTTTGTAGTTTCTTTTTAGTTAAAGATCTTAATTTCTTGAAATGCAGTGCGCTATCCATGTTGTAAAGATAGCGATAGATTTAAATGGATTACACAAACATTTGTGAAATGCGTGCTACTGAAGATAATAATATAAGTGCCTATAAATAGCAGCACATGACATACAAATCTATGGGAGTGTGGATTAATCAGTACAGAGATTAATTCAATTACACAAATAAAATTATAGATTGCCTAACAATGTAATTTTAACACACTATTTACTGTTACTGTTACTGTTACTTTCTTTTACAACCACAAATTACAAACAAATTGTAAATGAAATATCAGATATCATCAACAATAGTAACATTTCACGTGACGATTTACCAATAATTAAACGTCGCCTCGCAGATATTGAAAAAATTGAACTATCCAAACATAAAGAAAAACAAAGGAATAAATTTCAAAGAGATAAAATTCACACTGTCTATTTAAATCAGGATATGAATGATATCAATACAACAAACCATAAGGTCCCTAGAAAAAGAAAATTCAAAAGACGGAAACAAAAAACTGAAAGCATTGTTGTAAATTTGTCATCTAAAGAACTTACAAGTGCTGAAGAATCTCTTTTAAGTAAAGGTTTAAACTTCTGTCCTATCCCATCAAATGTAAATAACTTTCAGCTAGACGAGGACTTAGACCAATTCGCTAGACGTTTACGCTTGAAAGATTTTTTCTACAATAGGGGCAAGAAAAACCTTGAAGAAGCTGGATTAACAGATTCAGATACTGACACCAATGAAGAAGTCACGCCCATCCCAAAATTTAAGAAAAAAAGTTCATGGAAACCACCTAAGAGTAAAAATAATAACTTGGAGTTATTCATTAACTACGTGATGTCTGATATAAAGTCCTGTATAACAAATACAAGAAATTATAATTTATCCAAGTCAGAAAGCATTGCTTTGAAAGCGTTAAAAGATCAAGAGGATATCGTAATTAAACCTGCCGACAAAGGGGGCGCTGTGGTTGTCATGAATAAAACAGATTACATAGCAGAGGGAAATCGCCAACTTTCAAACTCCATTTTTTATAAACAATTAACCACAGATCCAACACTAAATAATATTCGAAGGATCAACACCATCCTTAAAGAGATGTTCGACAAAAAGCATATAGACAATGACACCTTTGATTATCTCCGATCTCTTGAGAACGAAGCAAAGGCCGGAAGATTCTATATGTTGCCTAAAATACATAAAACGGGCAATCCAGGTCGACCAATTGTTTCAGCAAATAGTCATCCAACTGAAAAGATATCAGAATTTTTAGACCATCATCTAAGACCTCATGTGAAAGAACTACCCTCTTACATCCAAGATACGACTGATTATCTGAAGAAAATGGAA